TCAGGCGCGCCCCGCTATTTCATTAAGAGAGATTTCATCGAGCAGCCCGAGTAATTACATTTCCAAAGACAAAAACGCCTCCGTTCGCCATAAATCCACAAGCCCCTTACGCAGCTGCCTCCTTTTTTTTTATTCTTCTATTTGTGTATTTTTACGGGAGAATATCAAAGAGTTCCAACTTTTTTAATCTCGTGTTTTGTGCAAATTTTTTCCAAGGGATTTTGAGGCGGACCCACGAGTATAATGTCATACAGTATTGTATACCTTTCATACCGGTAATTACAATTTATCAACCCAAGACTTGGTCCCGCTATCGAATTTCCGCATGTACGTACAGTTTTAAATAACTCACGTGCACGAACCGCACATGTCCGACCATACACTGACTCGTACTACTTGGCTCTGAATCGTAGATCCTACGATCGTGTAATGGCTTTAATTTCGCGTGCGATAAATCACCTTGAGAATTTCTTTCTTTTTATTCGTATTCCGATTAATTATCGCCTACTCAAGACACCGTTATCGCTAACGAGTTGTGTCAGCAGTTCCTTGGTAATTAAGACGCAAAACGGGAGCATCGGTGGAATTCCCGGGGAATTTCCAACGTTGCGCTTTATAATCAAGCCGAGCATCGTCTTCGTCGGGTGTAAGCTTTGCACTCTGCTTAGTAAACGGAATTTAATAAAAGTTGTAACATGTCTTATGAACAAACTTGAGATTTTCGGTGCGGAATGGCTTTCTGAAAAATAAAAAATAATTGGAAATCAAAGCGCTTCAGTATTTTTTTTATTTTTCATCCGCAAGTCCTTTTAATTTGTACATGCAGCCTGCAGGTGCATGAGATTTTAAGAGTACACGGTTATATCTGTGTGCGAGCTGAAAAGAGGTCACTGATCCGAAAAACGGGCTCCAATCGACATTTTCGCGATGGGTACTTTGTACAATTTTGAAAATTATCGGGTTAAAAAAAAAATAATATAAAAAAACTTGGAAATGGAGTTGTGATATTGCTGGAATTATTTAAGTTATGCTATTATTTTTTTTTAGTTACGAAATAAAGATAGCAGCATCCTTCGTATAGATAAATTAAAAAAAAAAAAAAAAAAAAAGATTACGCATTTATATGAATGCTGCTTTTCAGTTATCATTGGAAATTTAATTTAATTTCAACTTAATTACCTGCAACATAACATGTACTAATAAATCAAGATATAACCCTCGCACTATGTCCTAAATTTTTTAATCATATAACTTCAGTATGGCTTTTTGGGTGATTAAATTAAAAAAAAAAGTACTTTATATCATCTGTAACCTGTGTATACATAAAAAAATTCATATAAAAAAAAGTCAAACGATGGGATGGGATTTGCAGTGAATGATTCATCGGGTGGAAGCAGAGCGCGGAAGTATACGGAAGCTGAACATATCGAGGATCCGCTCTCGTGTCGCGACGGAATTTGATTTTTCAAACTACATTTCGCGTCCGATCCGTCGGATAAAAACATGGTATGAAAAAATATATCCCGGGAATACGTACACATGCCGAAAAATTTATTACAAACGGGAAAGAAAATTAAATGAAACTTCTGATGGCTGGTCGTTGGTTTTATTTAATTTAATTACACGTAAAATACTATTGATCGGTATGCTCATTTGAGAAAGTGTGACCATAGGTTATTTTTGTTATGCAATAAAAAAAAAAAAAAAAAAAAAGTAATAATCGAATCTTTTATGTCTCACGAAATCAACATCAGACACGACTAGTTATAAATTTCCCATTGACTCGAGGTATGGGTACCCTTGGATAATGCATCTGTTCGACATTATCAAATTCGGCATTTTATCGGTTAATCAAAAACCCCAAACTGCGACATCACTTTTAAATGCGTGAAATAACAACCACGGCGCACACAAATAAAAAATCATCCTGCTTTATTGACACGGTGCATTCGACTCTAGGACCGAACCTATGAAAACACAAATCACCTAATTAGATCCCACCATGCACGTCCAAAACCCGATAAGCAAAACCGGAAATTTGCTCGTATACCTTGCAGCGGCGACGGATCGATAGTACGAGTCAAAGAGAGAAAGGAAAGAGGCCAAAGAGGGGATGAAGATTAGCCAGTAAATCGGGTAATGTCGGATTGTCGCGGCGTCAGATCTATCTGTCTTATACCTCGACCGCAGCGTCGAGGGGAGGAAACTCAACATTTGAATTAGAATCTCGCAAGCCTTCGAGCCGTCCCGAGCACATACTGGTGGGAAATCGCGCGGGGGTTCAGCAGATCTCTATTTCGGAATCTTGCCGAACACGCGTAGGTACACACACACTCCCCTCCCCCGTTCCCGTAGGTACTCACGAGTGACGTCCGTGTCGAAATCGATTGGTTTGGAAAAAATCAGAAGAGCGCGAGCAGCGCGTGTACACACAAAACACATAGAGCGGGAGATACGCGAGTACGTGCCTTTGAGGGAAAAATCGGCTTTTCCGGTGATTTAACAACCCCTTCCTCCGAATGCGATGCAGCTATGTCCACATGCATGCAAGGACCCTCCTTCCCCCCTCGCTTTGGCGCGCGAGCAGCCCGAAACACGAAGGGAAACAATCCCGAGGCAGCCACCTGGGTGTAACGTAATATACCAGCCTCTCTTTCCACACTGCTCCGGGCGTCGGGGGCACGCACGCACGGCCAAGTCGTGCGCTTTTAGCTCCCTCACGTACGCCGTACATGTACATATTATATACATACACATTAGAAGAGGTTTCAGAGGGAGTAGAGGAGGAGGAGGGTAGAGTGCCCGTGTGTATAGTTGAATTGCCGTGGTACTCGCTCACACAGAGAGAAAGAGAGGGGGAGAGAGGGTGTGGAACATACACGAGGGGGTGTATATACGTACGAAACGAAGACTCTCGGGGAGAGTTGGGAGCCAGAAGGGTTGCACGCCGGAGGTAGAGGCATATACGGGTGGGAGCAGGGGCTCGGGCACGTTGGACGGAAAGATCGATATTTCGCGCGCCGAAGCGCGGTGCTCTCTCTCTCTCTCTCTGTACACGGACGCCGGCTTGGGCTGCCGATGGCGCGATTTTTCCTTTCCCCCCCCCCCTTTTGTTCGCCTTTCCATCTCCTTAACAGCTCCTCTCGCTTGGGCTTTTTTTTTTTTTTTTTTTTTTTCACGAGCGAGAAAAGCCACCTATACGTATACGGACTCGCGTGCGATATTCATGGGCTCTCGCGCTTTCACCCTCGCTCGCTCTCCTAACTTGCTGTTGGAAAAGACCGCGCCGGTGGTTTTAGTTGTTGTTTTTTTTTTTTTCTTTAGCCTTGTTGTGCACATACGTGGCAACACCGATGGACGGCGGGTCGTCCGTTCTCTCGTGGGAAAGGACAAATAGGTGCGGAGAGCAAAGAGGACCATGGATTGGATAGAAGTGTAGCACCGAGGGAGGCTAGGACGGGGATGCTAAAAGGAGATAAGGGACTCGACGTACTACCCCGGCCGCTACACGGACGGCTCGATAAATGGGGGGGGGGGGGGCGGCAGCTTTCCACTTACTCCCCTTTTAGCCTTCGACTTGCCGCTGCTCACTCGCCCTTCGTCCTCTCGCGTGTTTAGGTAATCTCGAGCGTTTCCTTCTTGCGCTCCACCCTTGTAGGTATGGCTTTATTTTTCTTCGTTGATCCTATTACTGTTCTCAAGGGGTCCCCCTGGGAGGGTTGAGGTGCGCGTGTTTACGGACCGAGATAATTGCGCGGATAACGCGAGAGATACAAAGCGGATCGGATTTACAGGTGTACGTATACATCACGTACGAGTGCGCCTGTGGAAGGGTAGGTGGGTGGTATGTCGGCGAGTTTAGCGATCGGATGAGGATTTAGATCCTTCACGGGCCATTGGACGTCCTTGTGCGCCGGCAGCTGTTTCGCTGCCGTGAGCTTAAAAATAGGGTTGCTATTGGATTCGATGGGATATATGAAAGTTACATACGTCGATGCACGGTGTTGACCAATAGAGGCTTGGAAAGTTCTATCATCGAGCGGACATCACTCGGAGTGGGTTTTTACCCCCACTGCGTTGATTGAATTTTCGCCGCACGAGCGATTCCGGGGCTCCGGTCGATGGGTCGATGAATACTGCTCTCCGAGCTAGTTACATTCTTTCCCTCCCTCCCCCCCCTCCCCCATTCCTTCCGAATTTAGATTTTAGCGTTTGATTGCGACGTTTTTCGGATAAACTCGTTGTGTATGTTTTGGCTTTGACCAACGTCAAGAGCTCCTCAATTTTCCCAAATTAAATCCCACCCTTTTTCTTCATACGAACTTTGTCGACCACTCGCCAAAATTTTATTAAAAAAAAGCGCTATTGGTATAACGCACCGTCGAAAGTTAATTTTTACCTCATTTTTTGTTTTTGTTTATTCTTTCTCTTGATTGAGACACTCGCAAAAGCAAAAGGACGAACCACCAATTTACGTGTATTATGTGTTTATAAAGAGCGCAATAAGCAACCTAAAGGTACTTATGCATACACGAAGAAAAGGAAACCTCGGCAGAGCTCGTTAGGTGTGATTCTGGCATCAAAGTAACTTACATCCGCGAGTTTAATTAACACGCGACCGAGCATCACACCCATAGTAACAGAGAGAGAGAGAGGGAGGGAGAGAGAGTCAGACAAGCGTGGGCGCATTTTAGGTATACAAGAACCAAAGCGACGAACGAGCTCTCGGCATTACTTTGTATATGTATTTAATATATACTTAGCGAGCGGTAGACGTTGTATGGAGCGCGGGCGCGAAAGAGCAAGCCCTGGAAATGGGATTACCAATTATTTCCGAGCTAAGTGAATTTTGCTCCCTCGACGGCGTTTCAAACCCTCCTCCCACCCCGCCCCGTACTTTTCCCCGTGATACACACCCGTTCTGTATTGAATAGGGTATGAAGGGGCTAATAACGTTTTAACGTTGCTTATTTCGTGTCTCGTTCTTCTTTTGTCGACAGGCTGTCTCCGAGAGACTCGAGCTGGCACCCGCGGGCGGCAGATCCGAGCCACAGGTGAGTGTCTTTCTACAAAACTTAATATACACGTACACATATATATATTATATACTTACCACGCAAATGCTGTTATTTATGTTTTTCTTCTTTCCTTTTTTTTTCCCTCCCATTTGTCGGAAACCTAATGCACATGACTTGGTACGCGTGTGCAACGCTTTGATGGGCATTTCCTTTATTGATCCGGCTTTCTTCCGTTCGCGGAACGACAGGAAGGGATGCAGACGTTAATTGTCGAACAGGGCACTCGTGATCACCTCTCGAGTCGTTTTCAGAAGTGTTGCGCGCAAAACTTTATTTCACGAAAGCTCGAGAAAGAGGAGATTATAGGGGGGGTGGGGTGGATCTAATTGCGAGGGCTTTTATCGAGAGTTTGGAGTTGGATCGCGAGACTAGATTTTCATCATCGGGCCGTGGACTTTTATCCCTACGGTGAAAAGAGTGTTACCCTCTCGAGTGAAATTACGTTAAACAATGAGCTACAGTGGAGCTAACGCAAAATTCAAGTATAGAACATTTCGTCCCTTACGGGACCTTTGGTCCATTTTTTTTTCAGCGCTAACGTACTCGTAATGTTTGCTATTGTGATACATGTTTTTTTTTTGCAACCTAAAATTTGTTTATAAAAAGTGAGTGGGTGTGACATTTTTTCCCGTCGGTGGTGTTGCTGATTCAGATTATTCGACGAAGCGAATATTATGGATAGCTCCACTTGAGGGGTTTAATGAATTGAAGCTCACTGGAGGGAGGGACGGAAAAAGTGAAATAAATCACTCTTGTTTGCGCTGGAAAATTTTAACGAGCCGCGCGTTTAATAACAACTTCAGCGGCGCTTCTAATTATGTATTTAACCTTAATTTCTTTGCGTTTGAAGGCGCAAAATACACAGCAATTTAATTAAACGACAATTACGAAGAACAATTTTTGTTGCGTGTGTGTGTACATGGAACGTCAGCGCGATGGTGCGCTTCGTATCGTCATTTTAAAGTTCGTTAATTTGTCGGCTTGTCTGTATAGGCGCACTCGAGCGAGGAAGCAAAGCGCCGTTAATTGGCCATCAAACTGCGTTTCGACGAATATGGATTTAATTTTTAACGGTTTTCGATCAATTACAGGTGCTCCGAGTGAAATGTTTGATTTATACGGGATATACATGGTATACTTGATTTCGGATCAATTGACGCGATCATTTTTTAAAGCTTTGGGATTGAAAAATCGGCACTTGTGTTTGCTCCGAACCATCGAGTATTCTTACGAACGTATTCCGGCAAACAATGTGTATTGGGCAGCGAGTGCTTTTACACTGATGAAAAAAAAAAAAAAATCTGCTATTTTAGAAATGCCTTGGAAAATATTGACTTTTTGCACCGTGCGTGCACAAAAGCAGCAAGAATTCACAGCGAAAAACGCCGAAAAATAAATGAGCTGTAAAAGCAAATCGATCCTTCGTTTCGCGCGATGTTTGCTTTTCATTGGACGTATTCGCTGAATCCATGAGATACCGAATCGCTTGAAAAGCCTGTGGCGAGCAAAATAGGCGACACAGGACTGTAATGTTTCACTTGTGAAATCAATACGTGTACGGTAGGTATAGGTGGAAGTAAATGTTTTCAATCACTGAAATTTGTCGCGTGCTGTACCCAAACTAACAAAAGCGAACATGATATTTGTACTTTATTCGACAAAGCCGTTGGAATTTTTTTTTCTACAGCCATGATACTTTCGCGGATGGGGTGCGATGTTATCTTTACATTTTTGTGCGCAATATCTCTGTGAGCCGGTATCACACTGGAGGTGACGCGATTCGCGTAAACACGAGCCTTTTCACCCGAGCATCGATTCGACGCGATTCCCATTTCAAAGTACGAGAATGTTTCTTTTTGATGCGCATGTTATTCGACGAATTTCGCTTGACTGAATTCAAACTGTAAATTACACGGAAAAACAACTACGTCGTTATTTGCAAAATTTATTAAACATCGAGTACCAGAGTTGTATGGGAAAAAAGCCCCTTGAATATCCTCGAACGATTATGCATTCGTATGTAATCACGATCGAGCTTTGCCAAAGTTCGTTGTGATCATCAATAAACGAGAAAAAAAAAAAAGTGCAAAATATTGCAATGTATAGCCTACGCTGGCAGCGCGACTCGCCCTATTTTTATTTCATCAAACACACGTCAATTGCGTGTACACGTGTACACAAACACGACGGGAGCGCCGAGAGGGAGAAAAAAAAAAAAAAAAAAAAAAAGCTGACGCGAAAAGCATCAACGTCGATATAATAAAGCCACACGTGTGAAAAGTCAAGAGTTCGACATCGCGGTGCCCGTACTCGTGAATATTTTTGCACACGCCAGGGACGCGGGCGCCAGCTGCTTGTGACACGAAAAGAGAGATGAAGAACGTATTTTACTTCTCCCCGCGCGTCCGCTCGGCCGGAGCTTTTGTATTCGGTTGTTGAATTGTTTCCCCCGGCACGCGAGCATTTTTTTCTCTCTCCCTCTTTCATCCTTTTCCTCCCCTGACCCTATAGTACATAAATATACACACGAGAAATTGCATTTATGACTAATGTTTTTTTTTTTTTTTTTTTTTTTTTTTTTTTGTAAAATTAGGTTTTCCATGTTGGCTGCACCGACATGTTACACACAACACGCGTATATTCGTACTAGCTTCAAGTTAACTATTAAACCTACTTGTAAGAGCAAAATTAAACGTAATTTCAGTCGGAAACGTACAAGCTTGGAAAACTGTACATTCGTCAAACGCTCGTGTATATAATTGTTCATTCTGGGCTAATTTCAACGTTGAAAGTTTACGAAGCGCCTCTAATCAACTTAATTCCGATGTTTGTGTGTGCTGTACCACCTACGATCGATGCAGCGCGTGGGCTTTTTTTCATTTGGGTTTAAATGCGGTATACACACGCGTGTTTCAACGTTTCATGAAAAAAAAAGCACTGCGCAACTATTGCACTTTTTGGCTTTTTGATGTATTGCAAAATCATTGTATACCGTAATTGAGCCTATTTTTCTTTCATGCGCTCGTGTGTAGTTTAAACTCGCAAACACTTTTTTACGAGTTGCACACCCAGCAACTTTTAATCACCTCGTTCGGGACTACGCGCTTACAGTATATATACGTACATATGGGTCGTTCGTTTAATTTTCCTTTGCCCTATTATTTCCTGCAATTTCAGAATGTATCCAAATAAATAAATAAATAAATAAAGTGATTAATTTTACATTCAACACATAATGTATCGGCTTTATACAACTTTTTCGACATTCGCTTGAATTGTCACTCGATTAATAAATTAAATGCTCGCAATAAATACTTTATGTAAAACAATCGGTGTAACATTTTAGTTACTCGTACGTTTGTTATTTAAATTGATATCAGCTTAAATGTATTGAGTTACAAGATATTTATTGTAAAAAAATCTAACAGTACAGATATTCATAAAGAAAAGTAAGAAACCTCGTATTTTCATAATTATATCTTTATTTGCTTGGCATCTTATAAAAGATTCTGCCAATTCGTTAACGATAAATTCACAGAATATATTAAATGACAAAAATAGGGGAAAATTTTAACTGATAATTACCCTCGTTATTAAAAAAAAAGTCAGTTATAGCGAATGTACAAATTTAATAATTTGATTGGTACTCGCTAAAATTATCTACCAATTTACTAAATATTTTATCCCACTATATTGCACAAAAAAAAATAATCGGTAGCAAAAACAGATTAAAAATAATTTGAATCATAAGAAACTTTTTTTTTTTTATTNTATATACTTGTATAATTTTTTTTTTTTTTTTTTTTTTTTCAAATAAAATAAATTTTTTTTGATTTTTATATTTCTGCCAAACTTGAAAAAAGAGCGTACAAATATCAATTGATCGTTGAAAAAAATGTGCCACGAGTACTTACAAAAGAAAGGACGTTACATCGATTATTCTGATAAATGGAAAACCCTTTCCAATATACGTATAGATATCATATGATGTTCTTGTGTTCCCGCTTCAGTACCTCTTGTTTTTCCCCCTTTTTTTTAAACATGAAATTTTTCGTAGGAATTAATAAGTAACATCACGATATTCTGTTTGAAAAAAAAAAAAAAAAAAAATAGGTGGCAACACTCTGCGAGCCCGGCGACGCCTATCTAGCCCAGCACATGGGAGAGCAAGGCCGATGGATATCGTCGGGCGACACAAAAAGCTGCATGACCGACAAGCTGGAAATTCTGCAGTACTGCAAAAAGGTACGTTAGACGTTCATGTTGGTATACACACAACCAGACTACATTCCACACACAATGCATCTTTTGTGCACTCAAATTCTTTTCTCATGTCCATGCATATCTATTCGGTACATATATATATATGTATAAATTTTTTTTTTCTTTTGCGCATCCACGTAATATATGTACATCATATTGTCAGTCGCAAAGGTCGCGAGATACCGATACTATGGAGGTATATAATAAAGTGTATTGTACATGTACAGCCGGAAATGGAGAGGACGCGTGTACAGTGAAGAAGTAGTGGGTTCCCAATTTCATTTTCGATGGAAATCCTTCGGCTCCCCGGCCCTTGCGTAAATATATGTGCTTCGATTTCGCGGCTTTTCCCTTTTCCAGCTTTTTCCGTACATAATACACCACCTGCACGTGTAATTCAATACGTGCACACACTCGGTGTCGAATTTTCTCGGCATTGAAAGTGTCCGTTGCAGAAGTCGCGCACGCGATGATCTCCTATACCCTTTATACATGCATGTCCGTGTATTCGTACGAGTGTTAACTGGGAAATTTTTGGTTTTCAGTAGCTCTTTATAGAAAAAGAAAAAAAAAAAAAAGGAGTCATTTTCGAAGCAGAGACTAACATCGAACGAAAACTCATAAGGGCACATTGCATAAAGTACAGGAGAGGCTATTCAGAGCAATATAATTATTCTCGCCGAATATTGCATATTTTCTTCGTCCCGAGGGCATTTTCAATTTTAAGGGATGTTCGCCCGAGTCACGGAACCGCCCGCATGCATATAACACACGAGTCGGCCGTATTAGCGCGAAAGCAAACGAACGAAGCAAAAAGGAAAAAGAGCAAAAAAAAAAAAAAAAAAAAGAGAGAAAGTAGGTATATATCACACACACACGTAGGGAGGATAATATCGCCGAGCGGGGTGTCGGTGGTGGGAGAGAGACGAGATGGCGCGATGCCCTCAATATGTCCCCCGAGTGTGTGTGTGTGTGACTTTGTGCGGATGTAAATTTTCAACCGCGACCCGCGGACACGTATTATATACACATATAACGCTCGAGGCTGTACCCCCGCGTATATGGATCACCGGTGGTGGTGGTGCAATTTAGATCGGACGGCGGGGCCGTTTCTGGGAGTAGTGTTAAATTGTTCACGCGACGTGTCGCGAAAGATTTAAATAAACGATTCGACGCTTTCAACGACGATCGGACGCCAACTTGAAAATTGATCAAAATATACTGGATTCACTAGCAGGAAAAAAAAAAAAAAAAAACCACCGACGATTAATATAATAATCGAGCACAAGGTATCGCGGGAAACCAAGTATCAAATGACGTATTTTTTTTTCAACTTCGCGGTATCGAATGGTCGGCAAAATACACCCTCGGGCTTGTATTATGGGGGGAGGGGACCTGTATAAAAATCACCTCGCGTCCTTTTTACACTCGCACTACACGTACACATGTATATAGGTACGTGATACACGCAAATCCAGCATACATATCCGTATATAATGACATCTGTGAGTATACGGGTACAGGTCGCTCGGTATATTTTCGCGGTGACGCCTATATACTCATCGTCACCGTCATCGCGTGTTTCGGAGCAATTTAAGCCGCGCACGGACTTGAAATACACGCGTGTACATATATATATATATACATGTACAAACCCACACAGAATCAAATATTCGATTCGCCACGCGAACTCGGTCTCGTTTCAACGCCGTCTGACCGCACACGCGTCTATACTACTTGCCATTCCACGTTCGTTTGCTTTGCTTTGCTATCGCGATGACGATGATAATGGTAATGATAGTAACAAGTATTGCAGCCTGGCGATGATCGCGTGGAGTATATAGCTGGTATGCTTGGCGCGTGATTTCCGCACAGGAGCCCTCATACACAATGTATACGCATTTATTACATGCCGAACCAGCCAAACCATCAATGCACGTTTGTGAAACGCGTGTGCGCATTACATTGTGGGTCTGTATTATACGTGCACGTACAAATGGTACGAATACTTGGTATATATATAATTTTAAAATCGATGTTGACATTATATATATTTTGTGAATGTGCGACCTCTAATCAAGTGGTCTATACGTGACGTAGGTAAATTATATGTATACATGATCAAAAAAAGACACGAAAATGCAGTACCTACTTAAACAATAAAACAATGGAGAATAGTGTAAATGGTATCATGATACGAGAGCGCAATGTGCAACGCACGTGATGGGCGTGGAAAAAAAAAAAAAAAAAAACCTCGCACACGAGTTGGGACAAAACGACGCGTCCATCCCGAGAATAGATTGGATTTGGTCCCCCTCGCTATACAGGTTGTCCAGTAATTCTCATTGGAAATAATCTCGAGGTCGTTGGCCCGTGTGCTCTCTCTCTCTCTCCCTCCCGACAATAATTGCGCCTGACTGACACTCGGAGGGGGGGGGGGAGGTATGGGCAACTGGACGTGTTTCCAAGTCCTCCCCCCCTCCCCGTTGCACGCTCCATATACGTATATATGTACGGTGGTGCGAACTTGGAACCATCGTGATGTGTATGTATATTCAACCCATGGACAGATACGTACGCGAAATGTTGAAGGCACGTTATGGAGATTGGTGTATTGCTCGATTGCAGTGAGCAACGATGACGGTACACTACGTACTGTAGTAGTCGCCGCGAGAGCTGTCATCGAGCACCTGTATATAACGTGTTACCGCTCAATTTGAGGCTGGTACTTTGAAGGTGGGGGGGGGAGGAGGGGGTGTTGGAGGGAATTGAATCTCGTTTGCGATAAACCGACGCGGGGAAAAGAGAGGCCGACCAATGCAGGGATACCAATGATGATGATGACTCGAGCTTGCAGTGCTTGTTGTTTATCGAATTAAATTAGTGGACGTGAGCTTGCGGGAAATGGACAAAACACCGCATGTCTATGTGCCTACTCTGACGAACCGTTGAATATTGGCTCGAAAAATAGTTACGTAAATACATAGGCACATTCGGTATTAGCGTTGGGCGACAACAAAACGTTTGGATACGTGATGATTAGTGGTGTGTTTGTAAACACTATGCGGAGGAGATCCCAAATACAATTTATATACGTATTAAGCACCACCTGCAGTCATTGCCATATACTCGTTTGTAAAGTAATTTTTTTTTTTTTTTTTTTTTTTTATTGTTATATCGAGAGGTACTCGTCATCAAAGATCAGACTATGGTTTTTTTTTTCTCGGTACACCAAAGAAAACAGTTATTCGTCCCTCTACCGTAAGCGAAACCCAATAAATATACATTTATCGAGCTCTTAGCCCCTTGCCTCTTCTATGCGAGACGTGCCGTAAAATCTCCGATCTCCGAGCAGCGTTGAAAAAGCTTTCCATCGCATATTTCGAGCCTTTAGTGCGAAAGAAATAACAATGTTTTTTCATCGCATATAGGCACAACTTATTACGCGTCATGCAATCGTAGTTTTAACAATATTTAATAGGTATACATAGTACAACAACATTATACGTATACGCGTATAGCTTTCGCGAGGATCATTTTTTCAACGATTGGCGTGTCGCTGATGCAAAATATCTGGAGTTTCTTTTTTTACTCAACGCTATATTATATCATACAAGTCAAGTGGATGGCGTGGCAGTATTTATTGGTGTGGCGCGATGACGCTCCTAACGGCCGGTTCAATCGTTCTCTACGTGAGTGCGCTATTTTGTTGATGGCCGTATATGCATTTATTACCTATACATATTTATGGTTACGGAAGAAAGAAAAAAAAAAGGCAATTTCTCGACTTATTTTTTTATTTGCAGAGTGGTTGTTGTCGTTGTTGTTGTTGTTGTTGTCGTTGTTGTTGTTGTTGTTGTTATTTGGATATTAGTGCGAGCTGTGCTTTTGCATAAATTATTGAGAAACGAGGGAAAATATGAATATACCTTTGTAACATTGCATATGGAAAAGGCGCGCTGTGTACGTGCGTTTCAATCGGTACAGTCGATTCGAAACAAAAACTGCTGACGAGGTGATGCCGGTGTCGGTGAGAATAATTTTTACCTCGAGGAAAATGCACCGAAGTTCATCATCTCTGCACCTCCTACGGGTTTTCTTACTACTCACTTTTATCCATACTCCTATACTTATATAATATATACTATATGCACTNTTTTTTTTTTTTTTTTTTGAGAGGGCTCACTCTGTATATATGCGTACACAAACATATATATATAGGAGGTCAAAGGAGAGTGTAATTATACTCGCGTGAAAAATGCAATTTTTCAATGTAAGTGGGTGATGATGAACAAAATGTAAAAAAACACACACACACAAAGGCACGATATTTTCCTTCTCTTGATCTAAATTTTCGTCAATCTACTGTTCCAGGCTTACCCGAAGCGAGACATCACCAACATCGTCGAGTCCTCGCACTACGTGCGAGTGAACGGCTGGTGCAAGCCCGGCAAGAGCAAGTGCAAGCTCTCGAGATGGGTCAAGCCCTACAGATGCCTAGGTAATGGAAAACTTTCAAGTTATTTGGAAGAAAAAAAAAACACTTTCACGTACCCCCCAACACTACATGTACAGAAACGTAAAAACCGTGTGGGTATACAACGTAACACATGGCAGGAGGATGTCGGGCCATTATTAGTTGTGCGCGAGAGATACAGCCGGGCTAACTAGTTCAAACTTTGAAAGTGAATCAGGGTTTAGGTACTTGCTCTCTCGTCCTATACCGCTCGGCGTATATATTATACGGCGTTACGACGCCAAAGTGTGGGTGAGTGGGTGTTGGCCAAAGAGCCTTTATGTGTATCGGCTTTGGGGAACAGATTTTACGGAAGCGTAAATCGGACATCGGTTTAGTTGCAAATTGTTGTTTCTCGGAGTTGCGGGGCAGGGGGAGGGAGGGAGGGACAAAGGGATTACATCGATCGTCATCGAATCAACGCAGCCTTGATAATTGGCTATTAAATTCACGTGCTGTGTATATGCATCACCCCACGTGGAAATAACAGCCTCCTTTATTCGTTGATATATATATATATCTTACGTAAAAGCGGTACGGTCGGATGATACGTGTTATCGATTTTCTCGAAACTTCCATTGGTATCTATTATTTCAAAGCAGAGATTTTACGTAACAACCAGTCGAATCGTGTAAATAATGGATCGACAGTCGATTTCGTCGAATCGTCTTTTACGTGGACTGTGGTGGCTTCCATTGTCACTAAATGACTCTTTTCAACGGTGCCAATTGTATTTGTAAACTAGAAATGTGGCGAGAAGGGATGAAACAAAAATTATTTACCAACTGTAATTTTTTATCATACGCGTGGTTGAATTAAAACCAATGTCACGAAACTATTTCTATGATAAATAATTAAAAAAACTGTTTCTCACTCTTTAGTTAATCGATAAAAGCACATACTTGTGTAACTTATAAATTAATTTTTTTCAATTATCTGAGCGTATGTACCACGCACTCAAGTATAGGATCAGACCGTATAATGCTTTGACCATGGGTGAGAAATACCCGATGTGAAATTTAGTAGAAACAGGCGAGTGAGGTAAGACGAGCCATCGACAGACGGGGAGAGTCGAGTCGGCCAAACTGAGTCTTTGTATACATGCTTTATATTTTTGCATAAGTACTTATTTACTTAGAAAACAAAACGTAAGTTGGTCTGGATCGTAGATTAAAAAATCGATCGCAAGATTATACATGCCAATACCGATAGACAAGTTGGACAATATACGCACGTAAAAAAGTTTTTTTTTTTTTATATTATTGCTCCGTATAACATGTACGTCAAATATGCATTCTATTGTTGTTTAGAGGGTCCGTTCCAGAGCGATGCCCTACTGGTGCCCGAGGGCTGTCTGTTCGACCACCTGCACAATCAAACCAAATGCTGGGAGTCATACAGGTAATCACATTGTTTGAATAAAAAATAAACAAATAAAAGCAATCTCGTAACAAGAGTTGTGGCTTGTAAGGACATCTTTACAACTACAATTTGCGCTTTGCGAGATTTATGAAACCACGTATGCGTATCGAATCTTATTATTCAACAAAACACGTTTTCCTCTCCTGTACAAGTGTACCCCTGGTAGTAGTATCATCATAACTTTGGTTAAACTGGCGCGGATGAGTTTCACGTGTGCAAGTGTAATCTCCGCGGATCAAATTAAGCCGGTGTATATGCACGTGTGTATATATATATGACACGCATAAATGTATACACGAGTGCAAGAAAGAGGGAGAGAGCGGCGCAAGCTGTTTTTGCTCTATAAATAGAGCCCGTGTGTACCTATACATCGAGCAATAGAGCTTTTATGTACACGAGGGTATTATACAAAGGTGCACTTCACCTGACAAGGAAAACTCAATGAGTGTGTGTTCGTCGTTTAACAAGAAGCGCGATAAAATGCATGGGCTTACGTCGAACATTGAAAACATACCTATTCATGGTAGCCAACATATTTTTTTGTGCTATTGATATTGTGGATTCAATACGTGCATCAAAGTGCTTTTTTTTTTACCTGATGTGACATTAACATACTATTTGAACTTGTATATTTCATTTCCTCGCTTTCTGTACATAACCATTCTCATATGAGAAACATCCCATGGAAACCACACGCTGTGCTATATATACTCATTTAGTTACTTGTATAATTTTTTTTTTTTTTTTTTTTTTTCTTAACTTTCAATGGTCTAACACACCTTGAAAACGTGATTAAAAATGTTCATAACTTCCGAAAATTGAACATAGGCTGGTAAGAAGTAACAAAAGAGAAGAGCAACAAAGCTTTCAAATAAAACTTGTTGGGCCACAATACGATGTATAAAATAAAATTCATTGTAAATTTATTCTTTAAATTCCGTATTTTCTTTAAAAACTAATAAATCTGGCAAATTTTGATACATCGTGATACAACTTTCGATCAAAACTTCGTATCCACAAACTCTACAGGCCTTATTTGAAAGCTTAGTTAGTATTTTTTGTACATAGTCACGTTATTATGCGCGGAATGTAACAAATTTTTCTCTCTTTCATGCACTCTTTTTATTCAAACAAGTCTCGTTGGAATTGTATTGTTGCCAACTTTGTTCCACGTATTATGTACCTAACCAGCCTGTATAAAAGCAATTGAAATCACCAATTTTTTAAATTTTCGCAAAAATTTGTCTCCCCTATTTTTAAACGATCTCAAAAAAACTGTGCCAAGTTAGTAAGGGTATACAAAAAACCAATATTAAAATTTTTGACACAACCATCACCCCAAGAAGTGTATAATTTTTCACAGCATCACTCGTATACGAAACGGATCCATCAATAAACCCACTTCCCCGTTATCTCTTTCCGAACTAATTATCCAAGTCCCTGCTGTCCCCCTTTCTAAAAAATAAAGGAAAACTTATACGAACAATGTGCACGTGCCTACAACTATCTGCGACACACCGGAAGAGAGCCCATCTGTTTCATACATCGGCACCTCTTCCCTGCTAAGGTTTATAAATATTGTATGGATCATTTGTTTACCTTGGCCGTAAAAAAAAAAAAAAAAAAAAAAAAAAAAACCTGAAATATTGATTNCCATGCTTGCAGCCTAATGTTAATATTTTTATATGTGTTATATAATTTTTTGTTAATTTTAGCTCCTCGCTTTTGTTTTGGTAATGCTACCTGTCAATTACCTTATTGTTATTTTCATCGTTATAAATACATAACTCTCATTATTATTATTATTATTATTATTATTATTATTATTATTCTTATTGTTAATATTATTATTATTATACGTATCACACACGGCTGAAACACGTTTTTCCCGACGAAAGAGTGAATAAAATATTTAAAACGCGTACATTGGTAGGGCGAAAAAAGAAATTTGAGTCATACAAGCCACATACGAAAAATGCTCAAAAGAACACGTTATTGTTTACTATTCGACGTTTTTTTGTAGGTAAATTTTTTTTGTTCTACCAAATTATCAAAAACATGACACAATAGTGAAAAAAAAAAAAAAAAAATTACAGATGGAACTCAACGGCGGCCGACACCTGCCGCGAGCGCAACATGAACTTGCGTAGCTTCGCGATGCTCCTGCCGTGTGGCATCTCCCTATTCGCCGGCGTCGAGTTCGTCTGTTGCCCGAAACATTTGAAAGGTAAGCCTATACACTCACGTACAATACAATATCCACCTTTGCCCGGCATCTCATACATACATCTCACCAGCGATGTTCCAATTTGCTCGATCACAACGTAGAAATCACAACTCAGAATCACCCCATGTTCATAGTGTATGCGTTTACAATATAAACTTCCATTAGACTCTGCTCTATTCTCTCAGTATTAGTGATTATTATTATTAAGCTCTATATGAGCCTGCGCAGCAGGAACGGCAGCGCTGAGGGGCCAGCTCTCGGTGTACCTAATACGTGTAATAATTTCTAGCTGTACACGTTACCGAGCACTGGCTTACGGTATATGCATACTCGAGACTTGGTTGATGATGCTCGGTTGCATTGGACATTATATACATAGAGAGTAAGGGTGTGAGAGAAACCCAAGCAGAGCAGGAAGGATACCGCGAACTTGGAAGTATGCTCGGATCGAACGCGCAGCTATATATATATATATATATATGCACGTTCGAGTACTTGCTCGGACGGAATTTAATTTCAACCCGATTCTGACGAAACTTCGTCCGAGTGCTCCTCCTGTGTCACAATCCAATACGATTTATTAACTGACCCTTTGTTTTTTTCATAACTAAGCCGCGACAGTTTATTGCAATCTCATTTGTAGGGACCCTAAACTACACCCTTGTTCAGGTAAAATACCAGATCCTATATTTTTTGAGCCTCAAATTTCTTCAAATCTTTTTGTTTTTCCATGCACCAGGTGTGCTCTTGCCTATTTTGTGTTCCATGAGGGTTGATTTGTCACTTTTAAATCTCTCTTTTCTTCACGCAAGATAGGGGAATTCCTGATAAAATTGAAGGAAAGCAGCAAGTTTGAAACAGTCAGTTGTCTCGCTGGGAATAGCCCTGAAAAAAAAAATTTTAATTTTCTTTTCCCGGGAATCGAACCCTCGACTAGCACCCCAACTTATCCGAGCCAACCGCGCTCTCAGTTAAATTAAAATACACGGAAAACGCGTATATCCTCAATGATGCTGTATTAACGCGTCTCTCGATAACCTTAGACATTTTACCACGGGGGAAAAGGCAAATAACAAGATAGTTGATTATCAAGTTCACTCGTTGTGGTAAATGAAAAAAAAAAAAAAAAAAAAAAAAAAAAANTTATACTTACACATGCACATACACGTACACAAAAAAATTATATATTATACGTAATATAATGTAAGCTAATAAATGCAATAATCAAGCAATGTTACGAAACGATTGTAAAATTTGAAACGCCATAGAAAACAATTTGGTATACATATAAATATGCTAGTTTAAACATTTTTGCTCAAGTCTTTTAATAAATATGTTTAACATGAAACCGCTCCCTGTCTGTGTATTTTTCTTTATTAACACACTATGATTATTTTGATTTGTTTAATACCATTATATTGTTTACAATTTTTCAACAAACACCATAAAATTGTCATCCTGCAAAAATACCGCACTTTTTCTCCAACAATTTACATCCGTAGGTACTCTGGACATGAAAATCCACGTCCAACAATAAAACGAACACGATTGTCGCTGAATTGTTAGCGATTGACGAGGACTCCAAGAATAATTTTAAGAGAAAAAAAAGGTACATCCTCTTCCTCCCTCGAGAGCCAACGAGTAATAAAATATTATTGGAGCTCCTGCGCTCGTAATACCATTCATCATATACTCCACACACACACACACACATCCACAACGAAGGGAGAGAGAAAAATCGAGGAAGCGATTAACATACGTAATGTATGCCATCCACTTGCAGTTAAACTTGGTCGAATCGCTCATAGAGAATTTTGATTTCCATATAAAATATATGTATATGTACATTCCAGAACTCACTTTAAAAAATGTGTCAACAGTGAAATCGAGATGAACGACCTGTAATAATATACAATTTTTCACAGTCACCACATTTCTACTCCTTTCTTATACATTCCATCACGGATCAATGTTTTGGCTGATTTGAATTTTTTTTGCATCATCTACACTTTTTATATATACCGTACCTGTACTCACCCAAGGAAAACACATTACTCCGTGTGTTTGATTGCCCATTGTTTGTTACTAAAAGGATGCGTGGTGTAGAATTGCAGTGAATCGCGGAAATGAATCGACGAGTGCGCTGTCCTCGCGAGGGCCCTACAAATATACTTATATATAAGCCCGACAAACATATACTTAAACACTCATTAATTTATGTTCGATCTTCGCGTTACAAACTGTCACTTCCTATGTTATTGTCTACTAGAGCGAGACGTTACCATATCGAAGTATTGATCACAAACAAAATGCCCATAGGTAAAATGTTTTTTTTTTTTTTTTGTATAATCATATGTATTATTGTGTGCGCGTAAATATGAATATACAAAATGTAGTATGATGAAAGGATGTCACTCACGTATATGCTTTCAAAAAACAACCGATTGGTATTCAACATGTTGTAACATATCGACGCAAATAAATAAAAAATACGTGTACAGATTATCATATGCGTCACGTCGAGCATTATTGCAAGATATATTTACACTCATTTTGAAAAATAACAACGGAAAAAAAATCTTGCACGTTGTGAAGCTGCGTTGAGCAAACACAAAACAAAGGGCGTCGTCGAAATGGGAATCGAAGAACAAGATGAATTTTGGTCGCAAAAATGCACTCAAGTAATCAAAGCTCGTATAAGTATAGAACAAATTTAAAGCACCAACGGGACATTGAAAACCGTATTGGTTTTGACGCTGTTGCAAAACTATGGATATAAAACTGGCTTATGTAGCTCACGCCAATAAACAAATAAAACGTTTGAAAAAATGTTATCGAAAAATCGATGATAATTAATCTGCGAAGGGTATAAAATTAATATAAAACAAAACAAAAAGAGAAACTTTTCGTCTGTGGGATACTTGACTTCTGATGAAAAATAAAAATTCTAATGACACACGTCCAGAAATAACATGAAATATGACAAGTGCGCAGTAGACTGCGGGTAGCTGCGACTGTAATATGCTCTTTCGGAAGAAAAAGAAAATACACAAGCCAAACGAAGCGACGGAAATATTTCGCTCACTTGGCGGAAAAAAAAAAAAAAAGAAAAAAAAGAAACAATAGAGAAAAACAAAAATGTCCAACTGATGCATAAACCATTGTTTTACCGAGTTACCTATATATAGATGAACATATACATATACACGTGTATTGAGGTAGTATGTAACAGAGGCACCGGATAAGGGGAGGAAAAAACAACCCACACAATACGCGACAAACATTATACATATTTCACTCGGACCAGCTGGGAAATGTTCGGTGGTTCCGTTCGGCTTTACTCGGTCTCGCGTCGTTTTAAATCCTTCTCCCTGCCCGTTTTTTTGTCGCGAGTTTAAAAAAAACTCCCTTTTCACGCGCAAAAAACTTTTGGATGCACACCGTAAATCCAGGTATTTCATTTGAATTTCAACCCCGTCGCATCGTGATAATTAATTACTAAAAAATCAAGTCGGTGAATTATCAAAATTTTTCAATCAGCTTTACCTAATAAAACGATTTTTAATTAAAAAAATGTCACGGCGTTCAAATCCGAGGCATAAATGTTTCGTACTTTCTTTTTTCTGCCGATTGTTTAGTAAAATAAAACAAAAATGATCAAAAATTACGGTAAAATGGCTTTTGCTTCTTTTGTGAATAAATATGTGGTAAATTAACAAAGAATAAAAAAAAATGTCAACGCAGCGAAAGGAGAAGGGGAAAAAAAAAAATTGTACTTCACGAAAATACAATTTGCGCGCCGGGATTGAAGGTAAAATGAGTCAAGTGCTAGGCCGGGTCGCCAAAGCCACGTCGAAACGACCGAATAAGAGGAACAAGTTGAGTTTGGCTATTTTTAAGGCTTTGGACATAAAAAAATTATACTTACACATGCACATACACGTACACAAAAAAATTATATATTATACGTAATATAATGTAAGCTAATTATGCATGTGTATACACGTTGCTAAAAAAATTATTTCGCTTTATTACTACTATTGTTATAATTGTCATCATTGCGCATATTAAATATACATGTTACTCAGATGGCAATGCCCTCTTTCTCTCTCTCTCTCTTTTTTTGGGATTTCCGTCCCCCACGTGGAGTTGAAAATGTTGGCTAAGATTATGAAAATTGAAGGGAAATTATGGAGCGCGTGGGCGAGGGGATTGAGCAAAAAAAAAAAAAAAAAAACCACGTGGAGTTGAAAATGTTGGCTAAGATTATGAAAATTGAAGGGAAATTATGGAGCGCGTGGGCGAGGGGATTGAGCAAAAAAAAAAAAAAAATAATTAAAAGTGGGAGAGAGAGAGAGAAAGGGCAAAAGAGCCTCAGCAGCGAAATTGTAAAAGCATACGATAGGTATATAATATTGCATAAGTGGACGCTGGAGAGTAATAATTTAGAAAACGATAATATTACGTGTGTATAAATAGGCATAGATATTATTTGTAACAAATGATGTTTGTTCGGTTTGTATGCTCTTTGTATCGTGTGTAACTAAAAATCCTTATTATTATTATTATTATTATTATTATTATTATTATTGTCATTATTACATGTTACCGTAAAAAGNTTTACCACGGGGGAAAAGGCAAATAACAAGATAGTTGATTATCAAGTTCACTCGTTGTGGTAAATGAAAAAAAAAAAAAAAAAAAAAAACGTCACTTGAAACAGGGAAGAAAATCAATATCCTTGCGGTCCTAGGGCGCCAACTCCCGCGACTTTCTTTCGTCAATTAAAGTTTGTAGAGGGGCGTCGAAAGTTCGCCAAGACCACGAAGAAGGATATTCAACAAAATTATAAAGGCAGGGGGTTACCGGGAAACTTTGGCCGATAACTAATCGTAATTGTACGTCCCCGTTGAAGAAAACATGAAGCTGAAGAAGCACTTTGAGATGCACGTACCCAAGGGGGTCGAGGACGATTTCGAGGAGGAGGAGGAGGAGGAAGAGGAGGAGGACGCTGCCGTGGCCGACGAGGCGGATCAGGACGACGAGGCGGAGGATGACTCGGACTCGTATGAAAATCTGGACGATGTGCTTGGCGACCAGCTCGACGACGACGAGAGCAACGAGGAGTACTTTGAGGACTACGACGGTACCGCGAGGTGAGATCTATTTTCTTTTTCTTCTTTTTTACCCTCTTGTGCTCATCATATACTTACCCTTGAAGTGATTCACGAGGGACTGGGTTGGGCGAAAAAATTTTTGATTAATCGGGCATGGATGTTTCGAGTCAGGAATCGCGTGGGTGAAGGGTTCGAATCCTTAGCCATGACAGTCAACATTTATATTGCGGAGGATATCGATACACTCTGAAAAATTTTCATCATAAAAAAAAGGAGATTGGTTTCGAAAAAAATTATTTATTCGTGGTGCGATTGGCCATGGGTGACCATATAACTGCAAACGTAACTTGCTGGATTAATGGAAATCAAATGATTTTCTTGCAAAACGATTTACGATGAAAAGAATTTTATTGGATTTTTGTTCACAAAAAAAAAAAATTTCTTACCATCAAGAAAATGTTTACAAAAGTAGTTTTTAGTATAAATTTTCTTCAAGCGAGGAAATATGATCTTATTTTCAAAGATTATTTACTTGAATTTAAGGAATGTATTTCTTAGTAATGTCTTGAAAAAGAGAGAGAAAAAAAAAAATCAGAAACAACAGCCAATCCTACACCAAGTGAGACTTCTGTCGTAAGAAGAAAACTCTGACACGTCTCTTGTATGTGAAAATGAAAACGAAAAAAGAAAATTCACACAAAAATCCCAAAAGAAGTCGGAAAAAAAAAAAAAATTAATCAAAGCTCCATTGCCCCGCAGCACTTTATCAACACAAGCACACGCAATGCAAATATACGCGCCCACAAAAAAAAGGGTTAATTAATTACCGTTCAAGAGCTGGAAAATCGCTTTTCCCTGCCGCTCTCGAGTGCTCAAAAAGCCGCGAAATACCCCAACTCCCTCGCAAACACACCGCACGTGTACGTACCTACAATACAATTCATCGGCAAAAAGCCTCTCGAAAGCCAAGCAAAGCCGAGCAAAAAAAAAGAAAAAAAAAAAAAAAAAAAAAAAAAAAAAAAAAAAAAAAAACAAAGCGACCCAATTCCACTCGACCCTGTATACAAAACCAATTTCCACGCACGTAGGCCTCCGTCGTCGGTGACAACTTCGACGAGTACTACGACCACCAGCACAACCACTACGACCACCACGAGCACCACCACCGCGGCACCCGAAAAGATAAAGGAACTGCCGAGCACTAATAGCAATGCAGTCGGTGGTGGTGGAAGCAGCAGCACCCCTACGAGCACCTCTGGCTCTCAACAGCAGCTGCCGGGAGCCGTGTTCGTGCCACACGGTACGTCAGATCCCTACTTGACCCACTTCGACCCGCGTTCGGAGCACCAGAGCTACAAACAGGCGCAAATGAGGCTCGAGGAGATACACAAGGAGGAAGTTACAAAGGTAAGCTTGTTCGTTTGTATGACGATTGTTGCTCAAACTCTATAGTCTCAATCAACTCGTCTTCTTGTACATACGTCATATACCTATTATTTAATTAACTTTGGGCACGTAATAGACTCATCGAGGGAGTAAAAGAGAGGAATAAGCAGGGAAGTAACGAGGGGCTGGGAGGAAATGAAGGGTAGTAGTATAGTACCGATGATTGCTTCGATACGGACGTGCCGCTATATATATCTCTGTGCCACTGCACTGCTGATGTGCTTTTTCCTTTATATTATCTTCTTCGTGCAGTATATATATATATATA